CCCCCCCCCCCGAAGGCCAATTTAAAGGGGATAGAGCCCCTTACTGTGTAAATAAATATTGTGAGGATCAGTGAGTGGGAGATTGGCCCGCCACTGTCCAATGCTGAAATGCTGTTTCTTATTTTGTTATAATAAACGGCTTTCGGCCATCTGGGGGTAGGATTACCGAAAAGGCAAGGTTCCCCCCAGCTGGTCACGGAGAGCAAAACAACAACAAAAAAAAGGTTACCTAAGGTTAGGTTAGTCTTATTCCTCTTACGTTGGAAAACCTTGCGAAGGTGGTTCGCCGTACTGCGGAGATCATTTATTCTAGGGTTTCACTAGTGAACAGATCTTCTATGGTTTTTCCCTGGGTTGATTGGCCTGCGGCATTCTAGTATGCTATCTGTTAGAGCCCGTGCCTTCCGTTCAGTGTCAGTGCAGTCCTGAAGCGGGTGTCGTCTCTCTGGGGCGATTATTGTTCTTAGTTTTTGTACGTCAATCTTAGGTACTCTGGAGCTGATGTGGCTGGGGAGTCCAGTGTTAGTTTCAAAAAACAGGGAAGGACTTCCAGATGTTTTTGACATTGACTGTTGGGTCATCGGGGGCAAGTTCTAGGGCGTGTCTAATGCATTTAGCAACATCGGATCCAGTTGTTATGCAGTCCAGGTCTAAGATGTTAATGTCATTAATATCGTGAGGAGTCTGGGAGTGGTCTCCTAGATTTGCCCCTTACCTTGGTTCCACTGTTTTCCGTAGTTGCTAGGTTGCTTTTCTTGTGGTCGTAATCCGGCTGTTGGGTCTGTTGTGGTTTGTGAGCCGTGGTGGGCTCCTGCTTTTGAAGCGTAGCTTGGTGTTGATGTGGAGTGGTTACTCTATAGTACGTTAATATACAGTAGAAATCACTATAACGAGCATCGCTTAGAACGAGATACTGCTTAAAACAAGCAAAACGTTAGGTCCCGGCACAAGGCCATATGATTGTATGTTAAAATATACGTCTACAACGAGTATGGTTATTACGAGATATCGGCTATAACGAGTAAAATAAAACGAACTTGACTAACGACCTTCCGGTTACTACGAACAGGTACCTGCAAGATAACAACTTTTGGCTATTATTTAGGTCGATTAATCATTGACATATATTATCTTTAGATGTGTAGATATGGATTACTTATTAATAATAAACATTATTCCTACAAATTCTGGTGTTTTCAAGATAATAAAAATTACAAATAGCGTCAGTTGTGTGAAGACATTCCATCATGTCGCGTCGTCAGTTTACGTTGGACGAAAAAATCGGAATAATTGGGCGGTTAGAAAATGGCGAGAAAAACAGCGTGATCGCAAAAGAATTTGGCACCTCTTAGTCGACAATTTCAACCATATGGAAGAATCGGGATCCGTTGAAAAATATGTTTCAAACCACGTCACTGAAAGCAAAACGACTGCGTACTGCACAGCATAAGGACCTTGAAGAAGCTGTACTAGAATGGTTCAAACAACAACGGTTATTGAATGTGCCTATAAGTGGTCCTATCTTGCAAGCAAAAACTGACCAACTGGCTGAAAAAATGAAAATAGAAAATTTAAAAATGCTCTGCATCTTGGATTCAGCGTTTCCGACAGCGGCACAACATTGGTTTCGGCAAGATCTCAGGTGAGCCATCTGCAGTTAATACTGATATCTGCTCTAATTGGCTGGCTAACGTTTGGCCATCCCTTCGATCAGGTTACTGTGATGATGTAATTTATAATGCCGATGAAGCAGGAATTTTTTTCAAATTAACTCCCGATAAGACTCTTCGCTTCAAGGGGGGAAAATGCTCGGGTGGAAGATTATCGAAAGACAGAATAACAGTTTTAGTGGCAGCCAACATGATAAAAGAAAACTCCTTGTTATTGGAAAGTCGAAAAACCCTCGGTGTTTTAAAGGAGTTTCATCACTTCCAGTATTTTATGAAAATAACACCAAAGCTTGGATGACCTCAGCAATTTTTGAAAAAACTCTTAAATATTGGGATGATGAGTTACGCCGTAAGAAAAAAAAATTCTTCTGTTGTTGGACAACTGTCCAGCACACCCATCATTGAATTTGAAATTTATTAAACTCATATTTTTTCCCGCCAACACCACTGCTGTACTTCAACCAATGGACCAGGGCGTTATTAGGAACATTAAAGCTCATTACCGGAATCAGTTAGTACTGAAAACGATTGAGGATATTGAGAATCATGTAGAATCAAAAACAACTGTTTTGGATGCCATAATAAAGCTTGGTGTAATGTAACATCGACGGGGATTGCTAACTGCTTTCGGCATGCAGGTTTTTGTAACGTTTCGACCGATACAACACAGCTACAAGCAGACAGTGAATTGATTAATTACATCGACGAGGACTACGTACAAATTGATGACGACCTCATAACGTCAGAAATTCAAACGGATGAAGATATAGTCAACAATGTCATAGCCAACCAACGAGTTGAGCCAGATAATGATACTGATATCGATGAGCTTGATGATGAGTTTGAAACTGTGCCGTCAATATCCGAAGCTCGTGCTGCATTGAGGACACTAGAAAGATTTTAGGACACAAAATATGAAGGTACAGATGCTGAAAGAAAAGCGTTGTATTTATTAGAAACATCGATCAACACTAAACACACGCAGCTAAGTTCGATCAAAGATTATTTTAAGAAATTAAATTCAAGTGTTTTATAATTATATTTAAGTTATATGTATTGATAAATAAAGTATTAAATCTCCAGTTATAATAATTAATAATAAATGTATGTGCATACATGTATAAATTCAGTATTAATCTCAATTATAAGTAAAATAAAAAAAGTCGTCGGTTTTATTTTTTTATTTCCCGCTTTTAATCGGTTAGGTTAGGTTATGCTCGTTCTAACCGCATATAACGAGCTACCGGTTATAACGAGAAAAACTAACTGGCCATTGAAACTCGTTATAACCGATTTCTACTGTATTCCTGTTGTCCGTCGAACGAGACCACCAGTGTCTAGCAAGCCTTCAGGATGGCTTCTTGCTTATCCTGGCTGTTTGTGCTGAGGATCAGTTGCCTTTTTTTCCGTTGTAGCTTTTTCAATTTCAAAGAAGGCGGCGTGCAGGCTCGGTTTGTTGGAGTTGAGTTTCTAACTGCTTCTTTCACCTGGAGAGGACTTCGTATTTTTATTGACAATGATCAGCTGGTCAACGACATCTACTAAGTCGTTAATGATCTTATTTTGCTGCTTTTTCGAGTTTTTGAGACTCGATGTCGCCGCGGCGAGGCCCGGTTCCTCCGCTCTCTGTGAACTCGACCTCAAGAGTTTCGCCTTGAGTGAAGAATCGCTGTGCTTTTGGTTCGTTGGGACATGGGTCTTCCCTGAGGTTCGTGTTTCGTCCGTATCCATATCTCCATGTGATGCCTGTTTGCGTTTTGTGTCACTTGACAAGACTGTCTCAGCAGTCATATTATTACCGGATGAGAGGACCGTGCTGGACACCCTCTCATTCTGGATCTGGCTTGCTGATATCGACCTTTGATCCCCAACTGCAGTCTCCTGATGTCCGACCACCCCAGGTAGGGTGGCACCAGGACGAGACTCATCATTATTGTATTGTGTTTTGTTTTCAGTGTCTAGGCCCCCACTGACGGTGCCTGCCTCGCGTCGTCTGTCTTTTTCCCGTCCGTTTTTTTTTTTATCTTCCTGGACACCGGGGGTCGATCGTTTCCCCGGTGTGAGCGTTTTGCTAATCTCCTTATCGCGTCTTCTGTGGACACCCCTTTTTCTGAACCCGTACTGGCTGTTCGAAATGCCCTCAACTCTATCCTTGTGCACCTGCAGCTTGCTGGCAAGGTGTGCCTCCAACATCTTCCCTACGTCATTGAGCAGGCAGAGGGGCCTGTATGACTATGGTAACCTAACCTTTTTTTTTTTTTTAACGGTATCATAGGGGGCCGGAGACGCCCTAAGGCATTTCGTCAGCTCCCCACATCGTTTATTGGAAACAACAATCTTACAATATTAATGTATAACTTGACAATATTATTTACAGTCTAATTACAAGTAGTGGATGGCCTTACACCATCTAAAAAACGGACTTCGGCTAACAGCACCGCAAACTTAACTAGGTTTTAGTCTTGACGCTGCCGTTCTCTCTCCGCGGCTTCCCTCTTCGTCAGCACCTCCTTCACGAACCACTCTACCGCCACCGTCCAGCTATTCCGTGACTGCAGCATCTTCCCCACTACGGTGTCGGGAGTGAATGGGTCGTTGATTGCAGCTTTCAGCTCCATTCTCCATTCACCACCTGTCGCACTGGAAAAGCGCGTGATCCGCGTCGTCCACTGGCGCGAGACGGTCCACACACCTGGGGTTGTCCAACTTGCGGATCCGGTACAGATACTGGCCGAAACATCCATGTCCCGACAGGAACTGCGTCTGGTGGAAGTTCGTCGTCAGCCCGTGGCTCCTGGCGCACCAGGGATGGACGTCCGGGATCAGCCACCTGATTCCTCCGTCGACCATCTCTCCTGCCATGCCTCCATGGTGTTGGTTCTCGGATCGTTGCCTGCCGTGGCCCGTGGGTGACGTGGGGGTACTTCTCCGGTCGAGCACCGCCTCTCTCTCCTTCGCCAGGAGGTCTGCAGGCGGCGCTGACGCGATCACGTTTGTGGCCACCTTGAAGGCGGTGCGGTACGCGCAAGCACACTGGAGAAGAACTCTCCGTTGAGCTCTGTTCAGAGTCAGAACGTTCCCTGGCACGAACCAGCTAGGGGCACCGTACAGGAGCAAAGAGTGCACCACCGACGACAGGAGCCGCCGTCGGTCCTCACGGAGCCCGCCCGTATTCGGCATGATCCTCGCCAGCTGGTTCCCGATCTCCGTTTCTCTGGCTGCCGTTTTCTTGACCTGGCACTTGAACAGCATCGACCTGTCCACCACCATACCGAGGTAGTTCATCTCGGTCGAATGCTGAACGTAGCCGCCGCACAATTTGATCGGTTGCTTAGTGTACTTGTACCTATACGTGAAGAAGACGGCTTCGGTCTTCTCCACCGCGATCTGAAGGCCGAAGTCGGTGATCCGCTGCTCCAACAAGGACAGTGCTTCATTTGCTTTAAACTCCTGGGTCGAAATAGCCCTGGTGATCAACATCGTGTCGTCCGCGAATCCCAGCAGCTTGGCTCCGCTGGGCAGCTCGGTTCTCAGGACGGAATCAAAAGTAGCGTTCCTTAGGAGGGGGCCTACGACGGAACCCTGGGCATGCCTCCGGAAACCTCGATCTCCAGCGTACCGCTCTCCACGCAGTTTGCGTGCACCGTTCCCGTTCTCCCGGAGAAGTACGACCTGAACATGTTCTGCAGGTATAGCGGGACGCTACATTCCAGCAGAGCATATATGATGTCCGACCACTTGATCGAATTGAACACGTTCCTGATGTTGATGCTGACGGCTAGGAAATACTTACCTCCATCGACACCTTCCAAGAGGTTGGCCTGCAACTCACGTACTGCGTCGTCCGTGGACTTCCTTTTCCTAAAGCCAAACTGATTAGCCGAGAGGCCACCGTTGTCCGACATGTGGTCGAGATGGGGGTTGTTCTCCGACAAACATAAATTTGATAACAGGATATAACCTCAAATATTCTCCATTACCAACATAATTTTTATTAAATTGGCGTTAGGGAAATTTTGTATTAAAAAGTAAACGAATTTGTAATCTGAATCGTCGAAACTTAAAAGCCCATTTTTAAGAATAAAACCGCTTAAAAAGATAATCTTTGAAATTAAGGCCATCTAAATCCAACAATATTATAATGCTCTAGGTATTGTTTTTACTTCTGTCATTATTGTAGACTCTACAAACTTAAATTTTGTATTAGATATTGTTTAATATATTACATATAGTAATCTAAGTTAAGAAGTACTATGCATCAAGAAAGACTAAATGCATTGATGCTCATTACGGTAGAACAAGTAATGAATATTAACTTAAATCCCGACGATATAATTGATCATTTCAAAAATTCTACACAACGCAGAATGGTGTTATAATAAAATATATTATTTATTAATATGATAATGTCTTTTTTTGTTTGTTTTTTAATTGTAAAAGTTGTATGACATAAATATTTCAAGTTTTATTTTTATTTGAGTTTTAAGTAAATTTTTTTGAATTAAACAGTAAGACATTTGAATTTTTGTGTATTGTGTATATATTTTATCAGAATTTTACATTATTAAAATAACTTTCAGGTGGTGCCTGTGGTAATCCAGTGTTTAATTTGGGGGGAGGCAAAAGTACAAAATTGGCTAAACACAGTGTAAACAATGGGAAACTAAGGTGATTGGCGGGGGAGAATGCCCCTTTTGCCTCCCTCCTGGATCTCTACTAAAGTATTAATAATATAAATAGATTATATAACCATATGTATGTATGAACGGGCTAAGAGCCCAATAGTACAACACAATTTGTAGTAATGAATATGAATAATATAACAATAACTAGGTAGACGCCTAACAATACACGGCGATTATATACAAATAAAAATAAAATATTTGTGGACAATTTAAACTACAGGTATTATAAAAGTAGAAGTCGAATTAACAAAATGTGAGTAGAAATAATATTATTATTATCTTAGGATTTGGTTTGTTTAGCTGGCTACTAAAATCTTAATTTATAACTTATTTAGATACCTAGTCTGCGAAAATCAAAAAAATCGAACAGCATTTTGTCCTGTCACTGCGTATGTGAATACAAATATAAATGACAATGCAATAACAGTATTAGGATTGCACTACCATGCACCTAGGTTAGTTGATGTTCCTATGGTTCATTTAAGAAGAGCTATTGGTATAACTGGAACAAAACCTGGAAATATGTCCACCTCAGTTAGAGAAATTTATAACAGAGAAATAGTTGAGTAAGTAAGAGAAGATCAATAACCTAACTTAAGACCAATACAAAAGTAATATAATAGTAATAATAAAAAATATGCATAACTATTTTAACTACCCTAACCTAATCTAACTATACACCTATACTACTTAATATACTAAAAACTATACTATTAATTAAGTAAGAATATTTAATTACTGCCTTAGAAATCCAGAAGGTGCAACAAACTACACCTATTTACAATCACAAATGTGTGTAAAAAAAATGCGTCGGCGCCGTCATCCCAACAATCCATCTACAGTCGAAGAACTGATTGATACCTTAAGCCAGCATCAAAACTCAGCGTATGGAACAACAATGCAGAATCCGTCTTCAAAGTAAAATTTCACATTTATTAAAAATTATAAAATTATAAAATAAAATATTTAAATATATTTTTATTTAGTTTTTTTCAACAACATTTACCGTTTATGGTAGAAGGCGAACGGGTTGGCGTCATATTCTCAAATTTAGATGCGATTCAAAAATATAGAGAAGAACTGCTAACTGTAACCTTTGCAGGAATTGACGGCACATTTAAAACGGTACCAAAAAGTCCACCACAGCTAACCAAAGGCTGTTTATTAACATTTCAAGTGGTTCTAAAAAATGTAGTAAGTATAATTAGTAAATTAATAAATATAGCTTCTCAAGTACCTATATACCTATTGAAGTATTGACTGTATTTTCTATTTAAGTCTTTTCCGATGGTTTATGGGCTGACTTCCCGAATGACTCAAGCTACATACGAGTCATTCTTGAGGATTGTTCGTGAGGTTTTGCCATTGAATTATGCCCGGTTAACAATCATATCTGATTATGAAAGGGGGTTAATAAATGCAGTAGAATCAACCTTTCCTGAAAGCAGATTTCAGGGTTGTTGGTTCCATTACTGTCAAGTAAGTAATGTAAAGTATTAAGGTACTTAAGTATTTTATATCAATCAAGTTATTTCTTATTAGGAATAGTTAATATAATGTACATCATTTAATTAATATTTTTTAGGCTATTGTAAGGTATTGTAGAAGAAGTCTAAATAGTATTTACCATTTATTCCAATCGAATCCTGAGGCAGCTACAATATTGCGCATGGTAATTTAGTCTGAAATTAATAAGAATAAAATATTAATACCTTATACTGTTTTACAAAAATGTCTGTTATAGATCTTAGCTTTACCACATTTAACTGCTCAAGTACATCCCAATTGTACATTTACAATACATGATGGATTTTGGGTAATTGTTGAATTTGCCAATCAATATCCGAATATTTATCAACAGATGGAAGTATTTCTGAATGGTTATATTCAGGAATTTTGGCTTACACAAATTGGCGCTGACTCTATAAGCGTCTATGGGTATGAGAATTATATAAAAAAAAATTTTTTTACTAGGTACCTAATAGTAATATACCTAACCTAATAGTTTTAAAATGTATAATATACTTTTTAGTTCAGATATACGCACCAACAATTACCTAGAATCATTTCACGCTATGTTACTCAATCAAATGGGAAAACATCCAAATATTTGGGATTTTTTGCGTAAGCTCAATTTTATAATTAATTATTTTATTCTTTTTATTTTGGAACTTTCAGCTAATAACTATTACAGTTTATTTTATTTTTATTCTAGAAAAATTGTTGTTGATTGAAAATCAATTTTATGTTGAGATGGACCAAGTTCGAAGAAATCTAACAGTAGATTAATGAATTTATTTTATTTTAAATTTATGTACTCATATATTGTAATTACTCATTTATACTGTTGTTTTTAAATGTTTAGGTAAGAAATCATACATCTAGAGTACAACGGTCAGATGCTACTCGGAGGGTTAGAGAGTATATTGATACTCTCAATGACGATGGGAATCTCTTAATGTTTCTCCAAAGAGCAGGCCATATTATGATGGATGGGTATCTGCATGGACAAGTTGGCCCACAGCCATGATAACCTGAGAAAATATTTTATTTCAAATTTTATTATTATTTTTATACAATTTTTATACTTTTAACAACTTTTTTATGAGATTTAATTATTGACAAATTATATATTTAATTTTTTTACATTTATTGACAAATTCAATTAGTAGTGAATAGTGATGAATGTATTGATTTTACAATGACTATTTTTTTATAGGTACCTATAATATATGTGTGTTTTATTATATTTATTATATAATTATATACAAATACAATAAATATAATAGGCGATGAATGTATTGGTTTTACAATGATTATGTGTGTTTTATAGTTCTATTATATTTATATATTATGATTTATGACATTGTATGTTTTATAATTTTTTTTAATATGGTTTTAATGCCTCACCTTAGAAAAGAAAAAACAACTTCAGAAGCTTCAAACCATGACAAAATATATATCTTGTCGTGCTTCAAACAGTTAAAACACTTAAAACTAAAACGTGTACTAAAACTAGTAAAACTTTCAACTTCAAATTATGTAGATTAGGATCAGATATCTATAGTATCTATAGTAAAATAACGATTTGACATTTTTTTTTTCATAGTTGGTCACTCTGACTGTCGGAGAAAAAATTGGTTGTTATCATTTGTCGGAGAACGGCCCTTGGCCCCATGTGGTCCTCGAGTCTTCGCGCGAGCAAGAACTCGAGGATCTTGCCAACGTCGTTCAACAGGCAGAGAGGCCTGTAAGAAGAGGGCACACCGTCTGGCTTGTACCCTTTCTTCAACAGCACCACCCTGGCGGTCTGCCATTCCTTAGTGAAGGTCCCACTGCGGAGGCAGCTGTTATACAGGTCCAGCAGGATGTTCGGGTGCACCGCCTGGAGTATCTTGCCGGTGAGTCCGTCTGAGCCAGGGGCTTTGTTCTTGCTGCCCACCCTCTCGACCGCTGAGTCCACTTCCGAAGTCGTGAACGGGACTACTGGATCCGCAGGGACCAGCGGGCCGTCCGTTCTCGATTGGTGTTTCGGGAACATCGTACCGACTGCAGCGTCGCGTATTTCATCGAGGCCGTTGGTGGGGGACCTCCCAGCTTGCGAATCACCAGCTTGTACGGCTTACCAAACGGATCGGCGTCCTCTGAAGAAATGAACTCTTTCCAGCACGTCCTCTTGCTGCGCAGGATGGCGATCTTCAACTGCCTCTCGGCTTCTCGGTATGCGCCGTTGGTCAAGGCGAGCTCTGCGTCTGCCCGTTCTTCGTTGAACTCGTGAGTCTGGCGGCGTCGTAG